AAGCCTTCCCATCTCCTTCATTTTATGCTGTGACATGAAACTTGGGTGTTGCAATCAATACTTATCTGCTTTGCTCTAGACTGGTTCTTCTTATGCTGTGATTACCACTGTAATAACTAAGCTCCTTTTTCTGAGCCAAAGTGAGTATCTTTAGACTGTCAGGTGGAATTTGGGAGAATCCAGACTGTTCTCTTCTCCATCAAGCAGCCTTGACAGGCTGAAGCCAAGGAAGTTGGATCAAGAATGAGGTACCTAGTGGTTTTATACAGGTTTCACATTCTCTAGGAAAATGGAATTGCTTGCTCCTCAGCTGGTTGAGCCCAATCAGTAAAAGCCTCAATTGTTCAACTTTGATCAATATAGCTTTGTCTCCCTGCCACTGCCTGTCAGGTCGTCACCAACATGGATACCAGCACCATGGCACTTGGCACAGCACCCATGAGCAAGGCCCTCAAGAAGGTTTCAACCACATGCTTTGTGGTAGAAGAGCAGAAATGTGAATGGGTCTCCTCCTGTGAGCTTGAGTACAAGCTCCTCAGGACAGGAGCTGCCTTTTTCTTTTTCTTCTACATTTGTCTGCCCATACACAGCAAAAGGATTGGCAGTGAGATCTCTGGTAATGTAAAGACCTTGCAACAACTCTCCATGTTCATATTGCTGCTAACCCGATTCCCAAGAGGCCACTCTTTAGGGCTTCCGTTGAGAGGAAATTTATTGATAAGAATATGAACATACATGAATCTTTACTTTCCCCAGAAATCTCTTTTTTCAGTCAACCAGGCATCTAGCATGGTTCTAAATAAGACAGAGGGATGAGCGGTGATAAATTATAAAGTCTCTGGACTGTGATCTCAGCATCTTATGGGTAGGGAGAAGTCACATTATCCTGAATAAAAATAAGTCAATAAAGACATGAAGTAAAACTAAGATGAGCTCAAAAGCAGGCACTGGCTGCCACGTCTAATCTACCTTACTGGATCTTTTTCTTGGCTGTGTTAGTTTTTATCTTTGTGCATGGTACAAAGAAAACAGAGCACCTGCTAACATACCTAGCCATAGATGGGTAGGCTGCCTGGGGTAGCCTGCACAGACCATGTCAGTGTGATAAATGATACATGGTCCTGTGCTTGGACCTTGTCCAGACTCTGGCGCAGCTACTAGATATTTGAGGTTATTGTATTCCGTGAGGAAAATATAATCTATGCCTTTGTGAACCATGGATCAGGCAGGTTATGATTTAATATTAAGGAGACTGAAACAATAGGGTACCACCCACTATTTGTACAGAGTCTGGGTTTTATCCCTTTCAAGAGATGAGAGACTACAGCATATTCCCTAGTGAAGAATTTCTAATGCTGACAATTGCTAACTCATACAGTTTGTAAAGGACATCATCAGTACTCATCCCCACTCTAACTGAACAAATCCCAGTTTCCTGACAAATCCAGTTCAGAGCGCTGCTACAATCTTTGCCATGGTATACCATCACAAACAGGGACAGCAAAAGTCATAGGGCATGGTGGGCTTAACAAGCCTGCACTATGTCCTGAATCACAGGAAAGGGATCAGACTATGAGCAGGGAGGGATGTGTTGGCCTGCTGGAAGCTGCAGGTCAGCAATCCCAGAAAAGTGCTCTGCTGTCTGGAGCTGAAGAGCTAATCATCGAATCATAGAATCAGCCAGGCTGGAAAGGACCTCTGAGATCATCAAGTCCAACCTTTGATCCACTACCACTGTGGTTACTAATGAAGCTGTATGTGCTCCCAGACAATGTCTATTAAATTATCCACAACTATTTAGACCAGGTTGCCAATGTCCTACAGAACAGCAGCCTGTCAGATAAGAAAGGAAAGGGTCTGCGTGACTCTCTCCACATGTTCTGTCAAAATGCAATCAGTCAATCATCTGAAGAGGAATGGAAGAGGAGAGAAAGGACTTGCATCATTCCAAAGAATGTCATTCCTGCTTTCAGCAAATTAAAGCTGACCTGTATTGTCATTTGCCATTGGAATTCTTAAGATTTTTTTTCCCTTTACCTGCCTTCCTCCTAAGGTGTCAGTGCTACAGTCACACTTTACTATCTCACAGGCTTAGGTGAGGGTTTTTTCCTGGGGCTGCTTCAGGGCTTGGGGACTGAACAGTTCAACTGTTCACTGAAGGACCAGCAAAGGAAGGGACATAGCATTTTATAAATAATTATTTTTAACTTCCCACATAGGCAGATGAGTAGGCTATGATCACAGAATTTAAATGAACATGCATTCCTGCCTTCTCTGCAGAAGTAGAAGCACTGCTTTCCCTTTGCATTTGTATCTTCCACTTCACAGCCAAAAAGAAATAAATCATTTCTGTGATCCTAACTCGGGTAATTAGCCAACAAACACTATTGACTAAGTCAATGAATGAAAGAAACAGTGGACAAAGTCGCTAATGAACTGCTTGAGGAGAGTGCACAGTGAGAAAGTAATTTGGCCCTCTCGCCCCCCAATATGGGTTTAATTTCACTACCTGTCCATTCAAAATCTCCCACACAAGCTCAATAACACTGTCTTCCAGTTCTGCAGTCACGAGTTTAACCATGAAAAAAATCAGAGAGAGATATATTTTAAAAAACCTTTACAATGATCTAAAATAGCTCTTTGATGCATAGCAGATGTCTTCAAAACTTGCATAAACGGAGCCAAAATGCCTTGCAGTTTTGGAAAAGGGAGATTCCAAGATAAGATGCATTTCCAACTGCAGCAGCTCTGGAATAGATATGGAATTTATATTAATTGTCAACCTCAAGGAAAACACTTTAAAGAAGGCCTTCACTCTCCCATTTTGGGACAAGTGTCTCACTGGGCTACATGCTGCTCAAAGACCCGATGTCTGCCTGAAAGTAGCTCCTCTGTATCTGTAAAAGATAGTACATGGGTTCAGGTGGGGAAAAAGAGAGAGAACAACAATCAGTGAGACAGTGAGGTGACAGACTGAGGACTGCCTGCCCTTCGCTGTAACCCCTAGTTCATTACAAAGGGGGTGCTTGGCAGGCTTCACTGTAGGGAGGAAGACTGAGGAGAGGTTGGAAAGAAGTCAGTGAGATGGTGCTGAGGGAGGCTCTGAAACACACAGTGTAGGAGAAAAAATGTGAAGGGACATGCTGGAAAACTGAACAACAAATCCAGGCAATCTGACTCTGGAGTTAAAGTGGGGATGGGGTTCTCTAGTTCTGCTGCTCACCAGACAGGATAGCCAAAATGAAGATTTGTTCTGAGGAGACTTTTATAAAAAGGAGAAAAGAAGTCTGTATCTGATATAATGGAGTAGGTGGTACAATTGAAGAAAAAATCACAAAGCACCAACAGCCAAAGTGATGAGTCAGGACAAGAATCTTCTTACTGCTTTGAACAGTGTATCTCATGTGTACCAGGTCTTAGTTTTCACGAAGGTTTAAGCTAGCATCCTTGGAACACCCTTAACTCAGACAATATTAGGCTGTGCTCATAGAATAGCTAGGAAATATCTTCTACTTGAATACAGAAAGAGATAGAGAACTGAAAGACTGATGCAGAAGTAAGATGAAACATTTGATCTGAAATAAAACTTAGGAACAGAAATAACAGAGGTAGAGGGCTCTATATACATATTTAAAGGTGAAAAAAATAGGATCCATTTTCCTATAAATGCAAATGGCACCATCATGCTTAATGCTGAAAAAAGCAGAAGAGGAAAGTCAGGTAGTGATGGAACACAGAGGAGTAGTGTTCCTCTCATCAGCTCTGCTCCTTCCACCTCTTCCTGGCATTCTTTCCCCATCTTCCTTCTTTTGACATTGCAAGAAATGGGCCAGAAATACAAACTGCATATCTGCCTTTCATATGCATGAAACGTCAGAAGGACTTTGGGTTGGCTGAAGGGACAAGACAGGAAATCTGACTAACCCCAACCTGAACCACAAGTTCCAAATCCAAGGGGTTCCGGATGCAGCCCTAGGATTAATGTCTCTTCCAACGTGTCATTCTACCTTTCTCTCTCAGACCTTCTTTCTGCAACACTCTCCTCTTTTCTGGCTGCTGAACTGCAGTAGATACTTGACTATCTGTAGCACATGCGGAATGTTTGTACTCTGCCTACCTCAAATCCTCTTTAACCCTTTACAATATATGGGAGTATCACAGGATACCATTCACATGGAGCTAATCAATGCTTTCCCCATGCATTTCAGATGAAAGAATATCTGACAGCAAAAGAAATCAGTTAAAGAGTTCTCTCCCCAAAGTACATGAAACGGAGGAAGAGAAACCCACCTCTTGTTCTCATCCTACTGATAAATCTTCAGGGGGTGAGGTTTCCTTGCAACCCAAGCTGCTAACCCCACAGAGTCTGACTACTGAAAGGATATTCTCCTTCCAAGTTTGTTACGTCCTTGAGCATGGAAGGCACAGTTAGATAGCAGAACAAAGATGATGAGTTCTCCTTTATTCTGTCTCCATCCTGCTCTTCATTCACCTTGAGGATCAAATGCCTTCTTTACTCACCTCACAAGACACAAGACAACTGTCTGCCAAAGTGGAGCGTAATATGAAATCGTCTGTGCCACTGTTTGTCTCTCTCTTTTAAGGCAAATCAGTAGGAAGCAAACTCTTTTATGTAGCATCTCAACAGAAATCCTTTCCCCTCGGTCTGGCACCAGGAGCATTTTGTCTCCACCACTGTGCTGTGCATTACCAGCAGTAGAGACTGGGACAACTCAATGAAGACCAAAGCTAAATAGAATTACAGGTCCAGTTCTGTAGAGCATCTACTGAAGTAATTTCATTTGCTCACTTGGAAAACCTGTTTATTGTGCCTGGGAAATCACACCTCAAAACAAGTTACGAAGTGCATTTAAGATTCTTGCCACTTTTCTACAGTTGCCTATATTGCTACTGAAATTTTCTTTTGATGCTGGAAGAGAAGGAAACTACTGAACAGTTCACAAATCATCAGCACAGTCAAGTCCAGTTGGATCTCTTACCTGTTGGGGTGAGGTGCCTCCAGGTGATTACAGGTTCAGGACGCCCATTTGCCAGGCAAACCAGGGTCACGTTGCTGCCCTCATTCACGGTGATGTCTGAGGAGATATTGGAGATCTTTGGTGGAACTGTGAAGACAAAAGAAAGTTGGACGTTGTTAGAAGAAGAATTATGGAGGACAGCCTTTCTGGCTTATTAAACTACCTATCTATTAAGCAGAGTCCTGTCAGGTTGCACTCCCCATTACTACCTGGGTTTCTGAAATCACACCAGAACAGTATGTACCGCTGTTTCAAGTTCTGCAGTTCGAAATGGCCTTTGCTGTAACTGCAATGCTTTGTGTTTGAACAGGTTAGGAGGTCTTCATGAAACAACCTCTAAGAATGTGCCTGCCTGTCCCAAGGCTGCATGGAAGGAGCCAGGAGGCTCCAAGCACCATCCCAGCTCATTTTTACACTCCAAACAGTCCCAGACAGAGTTCTACATCCTCCTGCAGAATGCAAGGCCTCAAGGCAATGACTCAGAGGGTGTAGTAGTTACTGCTACCTCCCATGGGCAGAGAAAACTCATGCTGCTAGCCAGCACACTGCTCTTCTGTTCACATAACCAAATGCTCGCTGGGAACTGAACTAGAGAGTCCACAAGCTTCTTCCTGTAGAGACTGTGCAATGGCATGAGAAGCAATTATGTGCACCATAGCTAATGGGAATTTCTACAGTGGCAACAGCAGGAAGGTTTCTGTGACATCTTTCAGCCAATAGAGGTGCCCCATGGGCTACTGCAGTAGGTAGCTTCTGGATGACTGCACCTCACACAGCACAGCACAGCACCAAAAGCACAGTAGGGTCTCTAAAATTCACTAGACCAGCCATTGCTTGGGTATTCAGGATCCCTAAAGACCTTCCAAGCTAGTTGAGTTTGTGTCACAGGACCGGAGTGACCATGCAGGGACCTGAACACATCCAGGTGTGGAGTATGTCAGCTGTTGCAGTCTCTCCTCTCTCATATCCATGTCTTTCTTCCATGCTTCAAACTGCAGAGGTAGTGAGGGAGTTTGACTAAAAAGGAATCTTCTAATTTTTTTTAAAATATATTTTCAGCTTCCAAATTTGTGTGTAGCGAGGAATGAAACAACATCATTTTCTGCTTTGCTTACCACGGAGTAAACAGACAACAGCCTCCCCTTCCCCCTCCCTGGCAGGAGTGCCTGATGGTCCTTTTGAGGCAAAGCCTATAAGCTAGGTGGGGAAAAGGAAATGAAGCCTGAAGAGAGCAACTCACTACTTCCAGCTGTGTTGCTGGATTCATAGGAATACTGTTTACAACCCACAGCTCACTAGTCCCTCTCTGTAGGCCCCAGACCCATGGAAAACACTTTAGCATCTATGACCATGGGACTCCCTTGGAGAAAGAGGACCTATCGAAAAGAAGTGAGGCAGGCATGTACTTGCTGACACTTTCACTCATCCCGGCAAGGAAGGATTTAAGCCAAGCACACTGAGGAAGGATTGCCATAACCTGCAGAGAAGTGAGAGTGCAGAGGGCAGTGAGGAATCAGTTGAGGGCCAGCACAATAGGGACACATGGGTCACCGGCAAACACAGGCAAGCAGAACACAGGAGCAAAACCAGTGGCTAGACCACAATTTGGGAATATTATCATAACCTCAAAGGGTTAAGATTTGCATGAGGAAAAAAAAGCTGTGCAGCAAACCAAGAAGGACTAAGCTCAGTCAGCATTACCAGATGGAGCTGTAAGCCAGTGTGAAGTCCTAGCAGAATGGTGCAATGCCAGCCAAGGTTGAGGAGAGAGTAGCAAAAGCCACCACAGGGCAGCAGCAGAGCTGCAGTTAGGACATGTGTAACCTGCCACTTCCCAAAGCCATCAAGACATTTTAGTTCGCGCAGGATCAAGTAAACTCAGAAAATACAGATCTGACCACGCCTACCAAATGCCCAAGGGGAGGAGCATGTGTCCAGATGGTCATATCTTGCTTCCCACTTTTTCAGACAAGGGAGAAAAGGGCATCCAAGGTTGAAATTCTGTTAGGAATATAATGGCTGGTTCCTTTCAGCTGACACCTTGGTCAAAGGGCATGGAAAGGCTGAGAGAAGGGGGAATAGGGCAAGAAATAATTTCCCTGTAAATTTAAAACCCGGTTTGGCTTCATCTGCTTAGGCTCCAAAGCCAGTGGACAATAATTTCACTCAGATAAAAAGTCAGAGACTTTTAATTTTCAGGGTGTCAAGCCAGCATGTTAAAATGCCAAAACTGTCAGCACCAGCAACAGTTAGTATTGCCTCCTTGGCACTTGTCATTACTTTGCACACACCTTTTTAGGACAGCCTTAAATGAGAGGCTTTGACCTTATTATTTTTTCCCGTGTGTGGGTTGTGTTATGTTTTCACAGGTTCTAGACTGCTGGAAGAAGAATTGCTGAGAATGAAATCTCCTGGGGCCAGGATCTTCTGGGCATCAGAGCCTCCTTTTGCCCAGCCATCTCCTGTTGACCCTCAACTGCAACACTCTTCTGTGTCTGGCCTCTCTGAACCATTAGCAGAGGCAAAACCACTGGCTGCAGGCCCACAACAGGACAAGTACTACTGCTAAACAGTGCTTCCAGCATTTTTATATTCTGACTTTTTCCTCCAGGAGAGACCAGGCTGCTGCTGGACCCCTCTGGCTCCAAAGACCATGGGAAATGAATGACAGTACTTTTTCTGGTACTGCGGAAAAAGATAAAATTGCCGGATTTTTTCCTCCCTTTCTGTGTAAATATAGTATGGGGTATCCATTACACTGTGCTTAGGATCCCCCTGGATGATGAGGGGAGCAGAGACAGACATGAAAGCAAGCACTGCTTCATCCCCAGAGAGACAGAATGCTCCACCCACACCAGGGACTGATTCTGACAAGAAGGAAATGAATGCTGAGAAAAATGGCTTGAAACTCACATATTTGTTTCTTCTACATTTCACATCTATAGGATAAAGCTAATGCCAGGTCAGCATCTCATCTTCCACGTCACTGACAGTAAATAACAAGCCCCAAAGTAACAAGTGGCGTTTGCCATAAGAAGCTTGGACTGGAAGAGCAGGAGAGCTACAAGGCAGGAGTGACACAAGGGCAGAAATACTGTAGGGTGCTCTGCGCTGGGAAGGCTGCAGGGCAGGAGGGGTGCAAGGTGAGAACCAGCGTGGGAATTCAAGTCCCAAGCAAGATGCAGTGAGGGAGCTAGGTAGGACAGGTTTCTGCAGAAACAGCTTGCACCGAGCCTGTTCTAGTTAATTGCCGTCAATCCTTCACTTCCTGACAACTGCAACTCACATTAATTTAAATAATAAGAAAGACTGAGACATGAAAAATAGAGCATGCTTCCCCAGCACAATCACTGTTGCTCTCCAGATGAAAGCAAGTGATTTGTTTCCACAAAAATACCCGCTATAGCAGTTATTACAGACCAGGGGCTGCATACGGGAGGCAGCAAGGAAACCACAAACAAGAGAATACGCAAACATCTGCTGTTGTTATCCTTGCCTTTTATGATCAAAGCCCTTCACAGCTCAAAACTCCTCCTGAGATATTTACCTGGGAAGGTGTGGGGCAGGCTGGATCAACATTATAATTCAAGGCTATGGAAGGAGGCAAGGAGTAGTGCTACACCCCTTTTCCTAATTTAGTTTACACTGGAACTGGTCATGCCACAGCTCCCAAAGAGTTCAAATACTTGCCTTTTGATCAAAACATTTAAGCACAGCACAGGCACAAAGTGGGTTGAATAGGAACCACTGCTTTGCACAAGAGGTACTTATATGCAAGGAATACTTAAAGGCCCCCGGCAGCAGTTTCTGGCTCCTGCACTGATGGCACTCCACTTTCATGATGCTACACGCAAGATCTTAGCACAGGAGGAGGACTGGTTTGAGAGACAAGGGCAGGAAGCACAGGATGAGGAACTCAAATCAGGTATGGTAGAATAAAAAAATGGAAACAGAGGAGATCTAGTTGGAAGACACCTCGAGCCCTGTAATGCACACACAAGAAATTAACAGTCAGATATTCCGACTGTTCCCTATGGGCAAACAGAACTTTGCATAAGACCCTTAAGTGCAGCCTTCTACAGTGGAGCATCTACTCCCCAGTCTGAAATTACAAGACTGCTTAACAGCCAAGTATTTTGTCAGTAAGTCACAAAATACATTTTAAAAAATACATTTCTTATTCCCACTCAACAGACCTATGATACAGCAAAAGCTATTTAATATCTCCAAGACACAGATGTAAACAGTATTGAAATTTCCTAAGAAAGCCCATAAGCTTCATTTAAGTGCTCTGCTTGTCCCAAGAAGGGCACCTTGGATACAAATGGAAAAAGTCACTGCAATCCCTTCCATATATCCTCATTAGTTGCTTCCTCCAGCCGATTTCCTTCCTCTCTATTGGCAAGTAGGACCCCCATCTGTTGGAGAAAATTAAGACTCACATCCAATAACACACAGGAGCCCCTGGCTCTCAGGGCAAAAAAAGAAAACATCAGGACTTCACTCCAAAGTCAAAGGAACTTTGCAGCCACTAAAGCCCTCCGCAGGTGCCTATCAATTAGCCTCGAGAGTTCTCATTTCCTTGTCCCCAGCTCCCAATTAACAGCACTTTGCAACAAATGCAAAGACGCTAATAAGCCCCAAGGCAGAGGTAGGGGGGACGCTGCCCATCATATGCCCCTTGAATGCTCTGAAGCAGCCACCTTGCTCACCACAATTAGGGGTCCTTTCCTGGGGCAATTAATTGACAGCAAATTGGCCTCATTAGTCATTGTTTAGTTACAGCCTTTAGTTGGGAAGAGAGGACCTGAAGACGGGGCTGAGCTGCTAAACACAACTAAATGGTTTAATTTCCCTCTTATGTGTACAGCAGGCTAATCACAGCTCTTTAGGGCTGTAACGAGAAACAGCTTGTTGAAGCTAAAGTCCGCAAAGGGAGCAAGCTGAGGACTGGAAAGTAAAATCCAGACACCCTATGGGATGCGGCATGCTAATGTTTCTGAAAGCATTTTGCAGAAGAAATGCGACATGAGACCCAAGATGTGTTTTTTACGGTCTGATTCACGCTGCAGTCTCAGCCAGAGGGA